GTGCCCCCACCGGGACGCAAACCAGCAACCTTCTTGCTGCGAGGCAACAGTGCTAACCACCGCTCCACCTTGCAGACCCTATTTAAACTATTTAAAAATTATATTCTTACTGCAGTGCACAGACAGAAAATAAGGATTTATTTAAATGTGCATGTACTGTATTTAACTGTCCCAGCAGATAGTGGGATCACTAAATCCAGAATAAACGAATGCACACTCAGCCGGTAGCAATGTTGTCCCATCTGGTAAACTGTATTTGTGGACTGCTAATCCTTGATAGATGGAACAAAAACAAAGTGTCCTTCAGGTAAGATTCACTCAGATCTGTCAGAAAATATTGTGCAACTTGTGTTTGATACAACATGCCGACCAGAAGGTAGGCACACAATCGCTCAAAGTCCTTTTGGCAACAAACTTATTTGATTACACAAGCACGGTGACTTTTCACACTTGATCTCTTCAAACATCATGCCTGTCATCTGTGATCAGTCCGTGACTGCAGTGATTCATCAATAACAACAACATTTATCCGAAAACTCCTCAGAGTCACAGGAAACTGAGAAGAATGTGTTCTACATGTAGCATAACACAGGGACACAAAAACATCACGAACCAAGTCTTAGAATGTCATTATTGTGGCATTTAAAATGTAATATTTCATGTCAGGATGTTGAACTGAATTGTGTGATGTGTAAAAATGTCTCATCATTACTGCCTGTGTAGTTATTGTGCCTCTAATCTGATGATGTGAGTAAAAGATTGATCACGTCTGTCCAATGTTATGACTTTTTTCTTTTGGTCATTTTTATCTGCTCTGTCCTTTTAAAATCGTGTGATAAAATCCAGATGATAACTCTGTTTATGTAGCTGCACAACCAAGTGGTTTCCAAGAAATAAAAGATCATAAAAAACACATAAACAATTGGCATGAACAAACCGAGCTAACAGAATAAAACCGTAAAAGCACAGATAACAGTGAACAATGACAAGAGCAACAGAGAGCGTTCTTGGATTTAAAAAAAAAATCCTATAAAACAGAGTTCCTAAAAGACCATATTGTTCACTTGTCTTCTTTGTGCTCGTTATAATGGGTCTATCTCTTTTTAATCACTGTATGTTACCAGATTTTATCACTTCTTTGTGTTATCTTGACATAAACAAAACGCTGTAATCAGTCACCACCTTAACCAGCACATATTATTTCCAATTTTCCAGGTGAGATTAGCTGGTAAATGATTAATCAACAGTCAAACCTGTTCACTGGTGGTACAGAAAGTCGAGATAAAGAGTCATCAACGCTCACCATCTGCATTTCTGTAGAACTGCCCCTCTCTGTGGTCAAAATGGGAAACACAACCTGCTGTGTGATCACTGTCGTTCACCCACTGAAGGAACTTACACGCTAAAAAACAAAAGCAAGACTGTGCAATACACACATGCACAACTGTTCATGGTTTCCCACATTTTTACCATTGTTATGTGGGTGACAGAATTTGTTTAGTTTTGGATGAAGAGTGGCTTTAATATGACATCAAACTGCAAATGAGGTTTCTTCAAAATGTGTTGTTTATCCCACATTGACGGGCTCTCAGTGAGAAACATAAACTTAATATATTATTGGAAACACATTCAGGATTAAACTGCAATAACCGGGGGGATCCAACAGTTGCTTAGCAACGCTGTTGAAGAGAGCGGGGATGATGCTGAAACAAGAAAAAAAAAAAAGAAGATCAAGGCTGTACAAATGATCTTCCATCTGCAGCCTCATATAGGTAAACACACACACAAAGGGGTTTTGCAAAATTAGCTAACATGCCATAAATTAATAGCCATGACTACATGCATATGTGACAAGATAACAGGACCCTGACAGAATGTTAATGACATAAATAAACCAGTTAACATTTTATTTTATTTTAAGTCCCCCTGCTTAGCAATTAGCCCTGTGATGGACTGGTGACCTGTCCAGGTGTCCCCTGCCTTCGCCCTGGGTCGGCCGGGATAGACTCCAGCCCCCCGTGACCCCAGTGAGGATCAAGCGGTGTATAGATAATGGATGGATGGATGTTTAGCATTTCTATTGAACAAAAATATACATGCAGCATCTCATTTTCTTAAATTCTATTCATTCTTTTTTTTTATCTAAAGGAATAAAGATTTGTTGTTCCAATACACGACATCTCAACAACAGAAAAGTACAGCTATGCTTGAAATGATAATAGGCGGATGCAGGGTGGGGTCATCGACCAGAAATCACAAGTCAGTGTGTCCACTGTTTGCATCACATGGTGCCACATATCTACTAAACATTGAGTTAATATGAGGTTGTCGATGCTGCTTGTACAATGTTGTCCAACTGGTCCTGAAGGAACTGGTCAAGTTGGCGGACATTTTGGGAGACAGGACCACATTATCGGACGCATTCATCTCGAGAAGTTCACAAATGTTGTACTGGTTGCGTGCAGTGTGTCTTTGTACAACATGGGGACACAGTTTGTCTTGTTGAAACATCAAGTGAATGAACAGGATAGCTGCAAGGATTTCATTTTGATATCGTTGGGCATTGAACGTGCCATCAATGAAATGCAGTGTTCTTTGTCTGTCTCTGCATCCGTTGGCCACTCTCCATATGCTGACATCTGCATCATGTTTCCTTGTAGGATGCCAAACGTGACATCTGCCGCCTGCTCTGTGCTGCTGAAAACGAGACTCATCAGTGAAAAAATACCATCCTTCACCTTGCTTGTGTCCACCAAACGTGACTGGTTGCCTACTGGAGAAGATTGGGATGCTGTTTTGCCCTTACATCAATGTCTTGGACAAGATTGCAAACCAGCTTCCTTCAGGCGATTCCTTCTAGTTTGATATTCTCCAGCTGTGCGCACAAACAGCTTCATCAGCCGTCTTTAAAGTTGATTGCAAACAATGGACGAGTCAAACGTGGGGACACATGATCTGCTGTCTAGTGGCAGGTTGTCTGTCGTCCCATACTGTCTGAAATTATTTCTTAGACAGCTGTAGACATTCAAGCCTCTGACTGCGGCCATAACAGACATGTCAGCATCCAGCAGGGCAACAGCTTGTGCTCATCTTTCTGTTGTCCTCTGAGGCATCGTGTTGCTTAGTTAAAGTTGCATTTTAAGGTGGGCTTTTATAGTAACTGGTCAAAGAAGTGTCTGTACATAGACATTTCATTTCAGTGCGTTATATTATAATGTACTTCTAAGCAGATCTAAGTGCTTATTAATGTATTTGTAAAACAACTATAACTCCTCCTGTGGACAACCATGGCTGGTGTAGAAACAGAATATGAGTTAAACATAGTTGCAATAATATATCTTCAGAAAAGCTTCAATTTTCTGAGAAATACCATATACTAAACACTTAACCTTAAAGGGCCGCTAACGTGGACTTAAAAGTCTTTGTGTGTTACTGTCATTGTTGAAAATATGGTCAATTATTGTTAAAGTCATAAAATGAAAACTCTACTGACTGATTTATTGGCTATTTTATTTGCTGATTCATTCCTATCACAGTTATATCAATATCTGCATTTATATTGTCCAATATAAGAGTTTATTTTTATGAGAAAAGGAGGCTTTGAGTATGTAAAAGGTAGTTTGTCCAGCAGAATGCAGTCCAGCGCCATTGTTTGTTATACTATCCGCAGCACATGCAGCAAGCTGAGCAAAGAGACACTGGTGTGGAGTCAGTCGGTGTCTTCACAGTAAACTGGTTTACTAGATATATAGCTGGAAAATTAAAAACCCCTGATACCATCAATGCATCATTTCAATATAACGCTAACATAACCCTGTCCCTGAAAAGTGTCATGTCACTCATGTGTTAGCAAGGCAGCTAGCGGCTATAGTTTGTCAGTAAAGTCAGACATAGCAGATTGAAAAAGACTTCATGCTACCTTTTTGTTCACCTATTTAGTGAGATGCAATGCTGGAAATTAACACTAAACACCCCCATCTTTTGTTCTCCTGTGAGATATTTTTTCCACTCATGCTTCGTTCGCTACATTACCTAGCTAGCAAACACACAGCCAATTCAATAGGTTTTCTGTTGTGTGGAAGCTAATGTGTTAGCATCTCTACTTGTGTAACTTTAAAGGCAGTGTAACTAGCTTTACATGTATGCACTGTTCAATACACCTTCCAAACTGAATACTTCCAGTCTCTGCATTTAAAAAAAAATTAACTTGTAAAAGTCTGGTTTTCCACCAAATGCGTAGAAAGTTTCCCCTGAACTTAATGTGGAGTCGGCAATAGCAGACCAAAAGTAACTGTTAAACTATTACACATTATTTTGCATAAGATAAGAAATAAATTAGTTTCTAATTGGAGTTAAATGTACATAAATGACAGTTTGGACCAAATATTTAGCTTGACTTTCACAGCTAGCTTGATAGAGTACAGACTATGCAGTTGTTGTTTTTTTTTAACATGGACTTTACTGGTGTTATTTTGTACTAGCTGCAAAACATTAGCCTAGCCAAGTTAAGTGTCCAAACTCTTATGCGTGGAGGCTAATTTAGTTTAGCTAATTTAAAATGTCTCTAATGCTGCACTAGTTTACACAAGAGTCAATACCACGTCAACGAATGTTTGATGCAGAGAGGTTATTTTGTCAAACAGATGTGTTAATGTCACTCGGGACGGCCTCAGTGCAGACTGACTAGCTTGTGTAACTTCAGCCGTTAGCCGTTAGCGTCGGTTGAAACCGTCCCTCCGCCGCTTCGTTTCCGGGGAGTGTGTGTAGCTGTGCAGCCGTGTCGTTCTTGAACGGAGCTCTCTTTTCCAGTCCCGGGTAAATTTACACGACTAGAACACCCAGCTTGCTTCTGTATTTCAGTGAGGAACACACGGTTCACTCGGCAGATGTTGTCTTTGCAGTCATTTAGTGCTAAAAAAGTATAGTTTCAGTTGCGGGCAAACTAGTCGAGCTAGCTCCGGTCTGCAGGAAGGCACAGGAGGGATGTCGCGCGGGTAAGTGTGGAGGAGACGTTACGGTGTGTGTGTGTTTTGTTTTTTTGTTTTTTTTTATACATGTGTATTTTTTTTTTAAGCTTTGGATGGAAGTATCTCACAGCTGAACCCTTTTAAATTTTGTCATCTTCACAGCTAGAAATGCAGTTGTTGCGTCGCTCTGTAGTGAGTGTGTGAGTGAGGCAGCTTGTTTTCTTCCCCTCACGTCCATGTAATAGCCGTTGTTGTGTTGTGTGTCACGGTAGTGAGCTGGGAAAGCTGGACCCGGCCGTTATCCAGAAGCAGGTACACAGTCTCAAGTTTAGGTAGGCACTCCTCCGTTCTTCTTACTGTCGTGTCAGCTCACTTTTCTCTGTCACTAACGTCGAAATTAATCACAAACGCCTCGTTTTCGCCGACGAGAGAGCCCGTTGCATTTGCGCTCACGCACCGCTTGAGGCGCTCTACTTTCTCAGCTAACAGCTAACGTTTACTCAAGTGTGCTTTTGGCTAGCCGAGTTGCTAGCAGTGTTAGCTAACTTTAAATTACAGTCAAGTTGGAATATAAGTTTTGGAGTTTTGACATTCATTTCTGGCTAATTAATCGCAGTGATTTGTCTCGACAGTTGTGCAGTGTAATGTTTTGGACATGTAGCTTGAAGTTTCATATTTATGTCGAACTAATTGTTGAGCCCACGGAAGCTATTGTTAGCTACTTTGCTATCTCAGCTTTTCTTTGGGCATTTATCTGCGGGACCACTGCTGTGTGTTGCACATGCTGGGTGAATAGGTTGCTGGACAGGAAAGTAAAATAGACAGGCTACGGGGCGGTATAAGTAACAATGCATCGTATTTTGATTTTTTAATTTAAGTCAAAGTTAACCTTCTCCAAGCGTCAACTTTTGCATTATTGTATTATATTTTGCTATCTCGGTAAGCACATGACAAACAGGAAGATGAACATACTGGTGAAGAACCAGTGTACGTAAAATAGGACCTAAACACCTACTTCTAGCAATTAATATTAGTCTGACAAAAATCTGTGCTCATATTGGCAATGTATGGAAACCATATCAGGATCACTTGTAGTCACCCTGTAGCAAACATTACTGGACAGAGCAGTAGTGACTGTTTGGGAAGTTAGATGCTGAACTTTAATGTTTAGAATGCATGTTATTTAATTGTAACGTAGAACTGCAAATCTAGAGGCAAAACTTTTGCCTGCTGTTGTTTAGGATGATTATGTATTTGTTTTACATTGCAATACGTTATTACGTTATTTCTGTCTTTAGTGTGACATATTTTTTATTTAGACACATTTAAAATGAGGCAGAAAGTGTATTGTGACAAGTATTAAAAAAGTAGTTGAGGAACTCGTGGCTATGTGTTACAGGCTTGTGTTTACATCTACTTTTAGGGATAAAAGAAAAGAAGGATTTCTACTTTCACATGAGTCTCAGCAGTGTTTGGATCTAGTGATTGCAGAGGCAGTACGTTTTGGCTTCAAACCATTGTAGATGTAGTTTAGCTGTGTACATGAGATGTATAGGTCAGACATCAACTTTGGGTTCCCCCTCATATTGTGTCTTTCCCATGGATTGTAGTGCTGACTTGCAGATTATTTCTGTGGCATTGTGGCGTGCACTGCAGAGAACAACCTCCAATGGGCAGCATTAGTAAGAATGTGCATACAACTTCCTATTTCTGGGCTTGCTTTAAATGTAGCATTTAAAAATGCTATATCCAAACAGAATGAGATGTCTGCTGTTTTAGGAAGATTCCTAAACACGTGGATAAGACATATTTTGACATCTACTGCAAAAAAAAGGGGGCTGATGCTAAACCATTGCAATGAACGTGAATGGAAGTTAGTGTTGAAATGAGTAAAAATGCATTTTTAAAAACTCAGCAGCACCATTCTTTAAGTTCATGTCAGTCATAACACGTGTGTATCATGCAATACACGTAGTTTACACTGATATGTCTTATTTCTCTCTAGTATGTCTTATTGAAATAAAATGACTTGTGTTTAATATAATTATTGTTTATCTGTGTGTTTGCAGCATGGAAGAAGGCAACAATAATCTATGCAATGAAACTGATTCTGACTCAGCAGAGCGGAAGGATGGTGCCAAGAGCAAAACCAAATGGACTCATGAAGAGGTGAGTGGAAAGGAGACTTTTGTCAAATGTTCTTACAAAAGCCAGATTTGTTTTTTTTTGTTTTTTTAAAAAAAACATCTGATAATGATGTCTAGAGTCCCTTATTAAAGTTTTTCTATTTTATTGGATTTGTGTCAGTGACTACAATGTAATGCAGCATGTTAGCTTGTCACTTAGCTTTATGGTGGCGGGTTCGCTAGCTGATGTTAAGTGGAACAAACTCCTAAACCACATAGCTAACGTAGTTGTCCGACTGTGATGTCAAGCTCTGTTTTAAGTGTTTTTGGAACTTGTAAATGATAGCTCCTACCTGAACATTGGCCTTAAAGCTTGCATTATGTTGTGCTGTGTCTGAACTAGTTTCAACTTTTGTGCAGGATGAAAATCTCAAAATCCTGATCAGCAACTTTGGAAAGAAAGACTGGAAAATGATTGCCAGTTTTTTGCCAGTAAGTATTAATAGAGGTCATGTTGGTTATGAGAGAGAGTAAATGAAGTTGAACTTTTAAAAGTTTAGTATATCAAAAACACTCTGGTATTGCAAAATCGTGTTGGTCACTCTTGTCACTCTTCTTGGATACTGTAACATGTTACAAACATTTTGAGAAGAAACGCTAAAGATGTTTTTTTTTTGTTGCTTGTAAAGGGGCGGACAGAACAACAGTGTATGCTCCGCTGGAAAAAATGTCTGGATCCCAATCTAGTCAAGGGATTCTGGTCCAAAGAGGAAGATGAAATGGTATGAAAATTAAAAGCACAGAACAGACTTGTAAATCATGGAATATCTGATGCATACTTAGTTTAAACATGTTTTAGGTCAGTATTGTCCAGTCTCATGCTTCACCCCTGATATGTATTTGCTCTGGACAGATTGTAAACCTGGTGGGCAAGTTTGGCACCAAACACTGGACTGCAATTGCCAAGCACCTGAATGGGCGGCTGGGGAAACAGTGCCGTGAACGCTGGCACAACCACCTCAACCCAATGATCAAGAAGAGCACCTGGACTAATGAGGAAGATCTCATCATCTACAAAGCTCACTCCATTCTGGGAAACCGGTGGGCTGAGATTTCAAGGCTGCTCCCTGGAAGGTGAGTCAGTAAGCAGTGACTGGTTTGCTAAAATGTAATAAGGTGGATGATGGGCAGTCAGATGTTTTAGTTGGTGGTTATATATTGGTTAGTCCTTTAACCAAAGGAATCTTTGCTGTTCATTTTTAATTCTTCACACAGATCAGACAATTCTGTGAAGAATCACTGGAATGCCACCATCAAACGTAAAGCAGAGATGGGCTTGTTCAAAGATGAAGCTGAATGCATTTCACTGGATATTCAACAGTTTGTGGAGGGAGAGGTACAGTACTTCATCAGTTCTGCAGATCCTGTATGAAGCATATCATTTGCAGTTTTAGATTCTGAATTACTGTAAGTATTAGTCAATTTTACATTTTAGTAATTGATTAAATGTTATTAGGGTGTAGCTGGTAAAACATTTGTTGGTTACAGTTTGAATAATGCAAAAGCTGCTTTCTTTACATTATGATAAAAGTACCAATGACAATTAACAATATCCATACACTCGTCATTTTGTGGGCTGCTGGTTAAAGTGTGTATGAAGGGAAAAATACAACTAGTGTTATTTCTAATACATTGCTGCTACAACACTTTTGGGAATTTACATAATATATTGTGTTACAGGTGGACTTCAAATGGGACGTCGTATTGGATGCTGAACCAGTAACTCCTGAAGTGGTGAGCTTGCTATTGATGGTTTCCATTTAAACTTTTTTTCTTAAAAGGTGGTTGGATGCATCACTGTCATTGAAAATATCCCAAATGCTTTCAGTTTTTCTTCCAACATATTTGCAGCCAGCATGCTTGTTTTCACTTTTGCATTCTTTGCTTGTGGTGCAGGTCAAGCCTGAGAAAACATTGCAGCAGCAGGAGCATCGTAAAGCCAAGCAGACAATGGCTGTTCCACCACCCCAGGCTTTGGCATCAAGAAGAGAACTTTCCTCCCCGAGTCCCTCTCTGCCCCCCAGTTCCAGTCCCAGTCCCAGTCCGAGTCCGAGTCTTAGCTCCAGCTCTGGTGCTACACCATCAGCTGTGCAGGTAGACCAGAAAAAGTTTGCTGATGCAGCATTGAGGATGATTGCTGAGGACATGCTGCCACTCAGGTGATTTGTTCTGCTGATGACTGATACAGTCTTCTTGTTAAGTTGTTGTACAAAATCATCATATTAGCCAAGTTTGTTCATCTCCATTTTCCTGGTTGCCAATTTTGGATGCAACTACCCCTGTGTATTGAATAAATCACTACGTATTATTAAATGTACATTACCACTGTATCTGTTCTTTGTTTCTGACAGTTTTGTTGAAGGTGCAGGTTTCAGGTCTTTCATGAACACCATCATGCCTGAATGCAGCAAGCTGTCCCAGCGTGTCATCGGCCAGCAGCTCTACGACGATGTGGAGAGAACCATTAAGCCTCAGCTCATACGTGACCTCAAAGCCTGCCTTGCTAAAACCAAAGACGGTAAACGTGCCATTCATGTCACCTTTGACCTCTGGACAGGGAATCTGTCCCAATCGGGGGAGGATCCCATCGTCGTTGTGCAGCTCCACTTTGTCAGTGATTCCTGGCAGATCCGCCGTCCTGTTGTGGCCTTCCGTCACCTCACCCACAAAAACTTCAGCACTGCTGTGGCCAGGGAGCTGGAAGGTGTGCTGCTGAGCTATGGAATCTTTCCTGAGAGCATCGGCTATGTTCTTGCCAACCCGGCTAAAGAAGCCTTGACTGCGAACAACTTGTTCTGTGACTACAAGATCATGTGCTCCTCCAACAGGGGAGAACCGGTTGGAGAGGAGATAGTGACATTTCTGTCCGACCAGATGTCTGAAACGGAGTCCCCATTCTCAGAGCTGCAGATTGGAACCAGGACCACGTGTGTTGCCAGAACATTGCAAAGTGTGATCAAGGATGCCCTGAAAACTTCCAGATTAGTGGAGAACCTGCTCTCACAGGTGCACAATGTGGTGGCTTTCTTCAAGAACAGCGCCTACTGGAGCGAGGTAGGACAGATAAACTAACATATTAAAAGCTATTGTCAAGTGTATTCAAACTGGACATTTTCTTCTTGCAAAGGTGCAATTCAAGTCAGCAAGTCTATGTTTCTGTTACATCTTGTATAGATTTTGAGGTCAGAAAATGAGACCGCAGCTCCAGGATGTCTCTTATTAAATTGTGTTTTTTTTCTCGTGTGGAGAGTTTATTAAGAATATTTTAAAAATGAGAAATATGACATCTATATATTCCAAGACTGTGCCTGTTTCATTCTTCAAATGTTTTTTTTGTGAGCTATTCATTTGTGTAAAATTATAAATCAAACTTCAGCATTGGTAATTAATAAGCTAGTTATCATCTCATAATTTGTGCAAGTGCTACAGTTGGCTGTAAGCAAATACATAGTGGACAAAATAACAGAACATGTGTGTTGGGCGTGTGTCACATCATTTCTGAGACTTTCGTTTTTGCATCTCACATTAGTGTGGCTGAGGCTTTTTTTATTTTTATTTTTTTATACACATCACAAGATTTAAATAGAGAAGATACTTCTTTCCAGAGTTATTTTAATTTGGCCTTTGTGTGTCTTTTTTTGTTTTGTTTAGGTTTTGCTGAAGGAGTGCAATGTGTCTCTGTGCCCTTCGTCCAGTAACTGTCGCTGGAACTCCATGATGCTGTCATTAAGGCGTATGGTGCAGGAGTCTGCCTGGAGTGCCATCATGACTCTCCTGGGCCAGGCTCGCATCGAGGCAAACGACACAGCCAGTGCCCCACCTCTGGTCATGGTCAAGAGGGAGCAAGTGATTGACATTCTGGGTCTCCTGGAGCCCTTTGAGGAGGCTTTGCAGGTAACAAAGCAAGTTAACGAGGACTTTGTGTATTTTGGTGGCAGTGGATTGTTGTGTTTCAAGGTTTTTGAATATCAAGTCGCCCATATTTCCAATAGTTTCCAGATTTGACTGGCTTGTTGTTGATGCCGACTGCGCCACATAATCGAACAATCAGCTTATAAAGAAAACAGGGCTGTGCCATCAATTATCACGTTAACATCATCTTTAATATTTATGAACATTAGCCAGCATCAGCCTAGAATTGTGTTAGAGGTTTGTAAGCTTAACCTTAAATGGCTTCTTTGGTGAACTTGTGTCGTGATAGACATTTGTTCTAAGTTGGGAACCTACCAGAAAAGCAAAGTCCAAATATGTCACAGCACTAATGTCATGATTTGTCAGTTTTGCGCTGAACCTTAGTTTGAGGATAAACTTATTATTTTTCTTAGGAAACTAATCAGAAAGTTTTTATACATGAATGGAAATACTGTATTTTAGTGTTGTTAGTAGAATATGATGTGACAAAATCTTCTTTTTGTCACTTCTAACCAAGGTTCTGCAAGGAAGTGGTGTGACCATTTCCTTAATCGTACCTTCCCTCGTTGGTCTTGATAAGACATTGGAGAGTCGGGTCACCAACTACACCCACTTCAGCAAGGCCCTGCGCTTAGGCCTCCACAGTAACTTCCAGTCGCTCATTCATCAGAAGGACATCATACTAGCAGCTGTGCTTGATCCCAGAATCAAACTGCAGGTACTGAATTAGGCTGTGCCTTACTATAGTGTATCAAAGAAAAAAAACACATGTATGCATTTGGAATCAGTACTCTCACCCTGACTGCATCCTTTTTTTCCAGCCGTTTCCTGATGTCAAAATGGAAGAGCAAACAGAGTTCCTAACACCTCCCTCAAAGCATCAGGCTCGGACCATTGTGGAATCCTCATTAGAAAGCATGAAGGTCTCGGCTGTTCCCACTGTGGAGGCAGATAAAAGCCAGAAATGCAGTGAGATGAAAAAAGAGCAGGATGTTGAAGGAGAAAGCCCAGCAAACACAATAACGGAGACGTCTGATGGCAGCTCAGACAACAACTGTGATGAAGTCAGCCAAAACGACCTCAAGCGCAAGTCCATTTTTAGCTTCCTCCAGCCGCCTGCGAAGATGTTGAAGATGTCAGAGCTTGATGTGTACCTATCTGAGCCACTGTTGGAAAGCAACTCCAGTCTTCTGTACTGGAAATCTGCTAATCAGTACCCCCAGCTCCAAGGTATTGCCAAGAGGCTGTTGGCGGTGCCAGCCACTTCTGGGGGCTTCGAGCGGCTCTGTCCGATGGCAGCTTGCATTGTACGAGCCAAGAGGAGCCGCCTGCCTGCTCATACCACAGAGAGGCTGCTTATATACAAGAACTCTGTGAAGACAAACACTGTTAAAAAGGCCAGAAGGGTTGCTAAAAACTGAGCCCAGTGACAAGTGGGTCTGTTTATTTTGACCTTTTCCACCCAAACTTCAACATACTTGTCACGCTGCATAACAGAAACTCTGCTGTTACTTACATAAGCTGTGCCTGCAGAATACTGACAATGAGGGCAGTCTATTCAAAATACCTCTGACATTGGAGTAAACCAGTGAAGCTAGATGACTGTTAAGGGTTTGTAATAGGAGGGAGTTTCTTTATAGCTGGACTGCATTTCAATACAACATATAGTGGAGACTAGTAAAAATGTCATTCCAAGTATGCATTAAGATGCCTTTAACAAAAGATTTTTTTGTCACTGCTCAAACTGTAAAAAGTTCCTCTGAAGACCTTGTGCTGCTGTTGCCTTTTCACACAAGCAGAAAATGAAATATATTTCTTGAATTGCAGGATTTAAACCTTTCTGGCTTTCTGCAACTGGCTCTGCCCTACTTTAATGCCATTGAAATAGTTCCATAGCTGGAATTCAGCAATAAATAGTAGACATCAGCTTGTTTCTTTTGCAGAAATACTGAAATGGGATACTTCTAGCTGTACTCTTTGGCAGGTATACATGAATGGCTAGTCAGTGCCTGAAGCAAAAAGTTAAAGTAACCTGTATGTTATAGCAAAACTACAGGACTGGACCGTTCCTTTTTAAGCCTTTCTTCCTATTCAGAATTGTAAGTTATTATATGCTGCAAACAGACTGTGTTTGGTCACTTGTCAGTGAACTGAACAAGACAGAGCAACCTCTTCATTTTTTGTAAAACCCTTTTGTATTTTATTAGTCTTACAAATAGTTTTTTTATTTGTTTGCGATGCTTTAAAGGCACTGCAATGAATGATATTTCTCAAGAGCATTGATGATTTTTGCCCTGAAGTGAATTGTAATGAGTGTGATGCAAAGGTCATTCTGAGTGGTCCTATGACATTATTAGTCAGGTATATTTCACAGTTCACATTGAATGACAGCTGATGGATTGTTTTTATTGCAGTGTTGATATTGTGCAAATAAACACAAGTTTGCATCCTTTGACCTCTTGTGTCTCCACTTGGAAATATCCAGAGAATGTACATAAATTAAACAGTATTTTGTCTACATTTTTCTGTACTTCTGGGCCAGTGTTTTCAAGTCCATTTCTGTGCTGTTTACATGAGGAATTAATTAATTGTTTATCCCAAACAACCCAAAACCACTGAAAGAGAAAAGAGAAATCCTAAATACCTATAGAACAAGTCTAGCTAGTATTCTGCAAGTTTAGCTAAGGTGGCTCTTTTAAACCAAAATTGATCAGACTGATTCAAGTCTGTATGTTAAAATGTGTTACCAATGTTGTAGGAAATGACTGGCGTTGCTATAGTTAAAATAATGATAATAGAAACCTAATATTCAGAATACTGCAATTCCCCCTAAGCTCTTGCTGTGTAAGATATTTTGAATCCTACTGGGGTAATTTAGAAAAAAAATGTCATTATAAAAAGTCGTTTTTTGTGTATATTTTCTATTTATACATTTGTGCTCTGGTCATTTTGTAATTTTTCGGTTTGTGTATTTCTAAGGGAAGCTGTACAGCTCAAACATGTGACCATCTGATGCGCCATACCAACAGAGTAGGTTGACTCGAGCGGTCTGTTTCTGTAGTCATCAGTGATTGGTTGGGCAGACTGCCTACGTCAGACGTAAACAGTGCGTCCCTTTCCGGTTCCGGGGTCACGACCCTTCTTTTCACATGTGCATGGTAGAAAAGTTACCACGAAGCTTCTGTCACATAGCAGGAATGAAGAAAATAAACTCGTCCCTTGCTTCTTTTTCGGCGCAGAAGAAGGAAGAGAAAACTTCGGAAGTAGCAGGAGTTTGTCAGACCAGTTTTTAAAAGTAAAACACTAAAAATACGCTATAAAACTAGCAGGTTAGCCTGGTGGCTAACGCGTATCGCCATGGCTCTGTACATGAAAGCCGCTGAGATCCTGGAGAAAGCCGAAAGGAAACAGGGCGCTTTGAAAACTCTGGTTTACGACAGTAAATTTTCCAACATCAAGCAGCTGTTCGCTCTGGTTTGTGAGACCCAGAAGTATTCCTCCATCCTGGAGGAGATCATCGAATCCACCAGGCTGCTCAAACTGACCAAGCTGAAGATGCCGCTGGCCAAGGTACTGGTGTACGACCTGCTGCTGGGCCAGGGGCTGAAGTGCGGCGGCTCCTGGAAGGCCGTGATGATAAAGCACCGCTCCAGGCTGCAGGCGAAGCTGGCTCGCATGAAAGTGAAGCAAAAGGTCAGCAAGAATGAAGACCTTCTCCCGGCCAACGTGCAGCAGCCTGCCGGGGACCAGCTGCCCAGGTATGTGCGTGTAAACACCCTGAAAACCACAGTGGAGGATGCGGTGGACTACCTGAAGAGGGATGGCTTCACCTACCTGGGACAGGCCGCCAGGCTGGAGGACTTCACCCTGAAGGGGAAAGTCTTTGTGAGGGACCTGCACCTGCCAGAGCTATTGGTCTTTTCTCATAAAACAGACTTCCATGACCACTTCCTGTACAAGGCTGGACACATCATCCTGCAGGACAAAGCCAGCTGCCTCCCCGCCTACCTCCTCAACCCTCCACCTGGTAGCCAGGTCATCGATGCCTGCGCTGCCCCCGGCAACAAAACCAGCCATCTGGCAGCCATCATGAAGAACAAGGGCAGGTTGTTTGCCTTTGACCTGGATGCCAAGCGTTTGGCCACCATGTCAACTCTCCTGCTCCGAGCCGGGGTCACCTGTCAGCAGCTGGCCAACCAGGACTTCCTGAAGGTGGACCCTGACAGCCCGCAGTACAAAGATGTTGAGTTTATCCTGCTGGATCCTTCCTGCAGTGGATCAGGTAGAGTAACCAGTCATCTGTGTATATGTCTGTTAGAGAAGCAGCTAACAATTATTTTCAATGTCAGTTATTCTTTTGATTATTTTCTGTGTCTTTGATCTAAAAAATATCAAAAAAAGGGTGAGAAATGTTGATCAGTGAGTCACAAAGCCCAAGATGACATCCTCATATTTGTCTATGATGTCTCAAGTAAGGCTGTTGTGACTGAACTGTTGACTTATTGTTTAATTAATCCATGTAGAGGTGATTTGTGTGTGCGATAAACTACTTTTCTTTCAATACATTTGATGTTTCAGGACCTCGATTACCTGTATCACAAAGGAGTGGTGTGTGCACTGCTGTCTACTCATTTGTTTTGTTTACAACCCAAAGTTATTCACTTTTCTGTCATAAAGTAGTGGGAAAAAATGAAAATAGTCACATTTATGAAGCTGGAATCACAGTATTAAGGCTTTTTTCCCCCTTAAACATTATTCAAACTGATTGATCATTAATCAAAATAGTTGGCATTTTTTTAAATACTTGACAAGTAGTCAATAAACCATTGCAGCTGCAGTGTATATAATTATAGTGTTATCCAGGTTTTGTATCACCTGTATTGCATATTTGCTCACTTTGTCAGGGTTTTACTAACTTTCATAAATATGTCAATGTATTATCATGTCATTCAAATCAAAGGTACAGGCATACAGAAAGCCAACGACAGTCGAAAACCTGTTTTCCGCTCCCATATTTACTTCTCCTCTCTCATATTTCTACATATAAATATAAGCAGAATTTACTGTGGAGCTTAGCTGTGTTTCAGAACCAGGATATGTTGCACAAGTAACCAGGCTTCTTCATAACCAGAAACCAGAGTGCTGGTGAGCCTATAAACAAACATAAAATGACTTAAATATATAATTCTGTTTCTAATTCTGTCATCTGTGTGTGGGTTCCAGGTATGGTGTGCCTCCGGGACAACACCTCCGCTGACCAGGAGAAGGAACAGGCTCGTCTGGCCTCCTTGGCCTCCTTCCAGCTGCGGTGCCTGAACCACGGCCTCAGGTTCCCCCGTCTGAAGCGCCTGGTTTACTCCACCTGCTCCGTCCACAGGCAGGAGAACGAGGACGTTGTCGCTGCCTGTCTGCAGCAAAACCCCAACTTCAGGTAGCAACAGTTCACTGGCATTAAAAACATGCCTATTTTAGTCCCTTTAAATACTGGATGGTGTGCTTTTTTCTCAGTCTTTTTAAATTGACTGTCAGGAACTTGAAGTGAATTTCATGATGTTTCAGTCGCTTTTTCACCTTGCCAAAAAAAAAACAACTATTGTGACAGAGAGACAAAATTGTATTATTTGTAGCTGTTCTCCTTTGACTGAGATGAGCCAAGACTTGTTCATTTAGTCAGATAATTCTGTATATTGGCCTGATACTGATCTTTTATTACAGTTTAGATGTTTGTCAGTGTGATGGTTTTCTTAATGACTGAGTTCTGACAACATAGTCTTTAAGTTGGAATTGCAGTGTACATTCTTTGTATATATTTTATTTATTTGCTTTGACTAAATACATGCAAGAGAACAAAGATCAAATTGGTTTTGCGCTTCTCTGTTACTCCATTAACACAGTTATGCGCTGCAGTTTTAAGGTTCGTCTTCAAGCCGCTGGTACTGCTGTTTGACTTTAAAGATAATTTAAAGTGGTTAGAGTGCACAACACATGGGCAAAAAGTGACTTCAGCAGCCAACCCATCCGTCGAAGTCAAAAGGCAAAAAAAACAACAAAAAAAACTCCCCACGTGATTGCTTTTGTGTTTTCCCTCCAGGTTGGTTCCTCTGCTGGCCCAGTGGCCTGAACGAGGACTGGAGCCGCTCTCACAGTGCTTACGAGCCAGCACAACCAAAACCCGAACACACGGCTTCTTTGTGGCTTTGCTGGAGAAACACAGGGAGGCTGGGAATGTGAAACAGGAAGCAGTCGTTCAGATCAGGTAAATACTTGGGCAGCAAATAGAATGTAGTAATACTGTGTAATGATGTTTTCAGTCTTATTGAAATAAATTTAAAAATACAAGTCTTTAAAAGTTCATTTTTCTCAGGATTTTTTATTTCTAAGTAGCATATAATGTTTTTGTTTTTTACATGCAAATCCATCACATCTGTACATTGTAGTGTTATGCTAATGCCCATAATTTGTAGAAGTGAATGTGTTACACCACCTGTCTGGACGACATATTATGCAGAATTTATTCAATTCTAGCATTATTGTTTTGTTCATGATTTCTACTTCTACACTTCAGTCCCTGATTTTAATTTATTTGTTTATATATATATGTTACTGTACTCCCTGTGCAGATCACAACTAATAAACACAATATCAGACAGTCTGAAGTAGAAAGAAACAACAAAATTATAGGAAAAAATCAACCCACAATACCAACCTACACACAATGGTATAATGACATACAAATGACGTATAAAGAATAAGCTCGTATAAAGAAAGCTCTTATATATTTAGGGCAAATGTCCTTTTCAATATGGTTTTATTCAGTCATTAAATCTATTAAAATCTGTATTATAAAATGGAAATTACCAGTCAGCAAAATTAATATCTGACATATTATAAATTTGGCAAATTTCTGATTACTGACTGATAAAAGTCACTGTGCTAGTCATGACTCAAAGCTTCCATCTTGACATTAGTGCTGCTAAGGACCTGCTATATGAGTAGGTTGACTCTTGCTGTTTGTTGTGTCACAGCGAACAGGAGGAAACGCCCGACCATCCACCTGCCTGTGAGATTAAACCTGCAGCTTCAGAAGAAGAGTCTGAGGCTTCAGAGATGGAGGACACACTGACACCTGAAGCGGGACAGACTGACAGTACACCCAGCAAGAAGAAGAGGAGGAAGAGGAAGAAGAAGAAGAAGAAGGCAGCAACAGCAGAGTGACATTTCCAGCTCCTATATCGTCCTCCTTTTCAGCAAGTTAATGAAAGTCTCACATGTCCCCACAACGCCTCTTTCAATTCTTCAGATCAAAATACTGCAAAGATGCTTAATTTCACAATGACTGTATAACTCCTGGTTTTTGCTCTAAACAGGCTGTTTTACTGTTTGTAGTTTTAAATGTAGCTGAGCTGCTGCTATCCACGAGCGCTTCAGGAAGAAGACTCTCTGCGTCTGTGATTAACAGCAAAACAATTGAGCACAAGGCAGCTGATACAGATGGGAATAAATGTGCGAAACCTGGACTATCTGTCACTTCCAACTTTCCCTCTGAGTGATCATTTTATATGGAAATATCACTAAATTCCCAGCACAGCCATTGTCTTCATGAGCATGGTGAGTTTATCAGCTAACAGTGTTTATAAAGCAGATTAGTGGTGCAGAGCTGCAGCTTGTCAATGACTCCAATGTGACTGCTGGTTAACATGCATTCTGAAAAACATGTAAACGAGAGCATCTTCCATTTCCCAATAGAGGTGTCCCCAGCAACAATGTACATGAGAACATGTTAGTTGGGAATTCAGCTGTGTTAAAATCCAGTATAAGTGAGCACAGACAACAGGAGAGAAGCCAACAGATGTAAATACCGAGTTTAAATTGCACCAAAGCACAACAGGCAACATGAAAACACAGCAACTCATCCAGTCCTTGGTTATTGTTCTAATACCACTGTTAAAGTTTCCACCATCTCTGAATGTCCCTAAGCAACAACAACATGCTAACACTAGGGATTCACCTATTGTTGTGGAGACATTGCCACCAATAATAAAAGTAATCCACTGGATCTTTAGTTCTTCAGATTTTGGGGGTGCATGGGGACTCTTGTATTCACTCTTGCGTTCACTCTTGCAGCTAACAGAATAACATTGGGACATTTTAGAGTTTGCACGATGCGAAGAGAAAGGATTCTGCAAAACATACTAAAAGTACTAGAAGTAAAGTTCTCACTAGTATCTAGTTGTGGGGGGTGCTTGAGGAATGTTGGAAATAATTGTTTACATATCTTGACAGGGGCTGCACGGTGGCTCGGTGGTTAGCACTGTGGCCTCACAGCTAGAAGATCCTTGGTTCGCATTGTGGTTAGGATGCCTGGGATCTTTCTGTGTGGAGTTTGCATGTTCTCCCCGTGCAGCGTGGGTTCTCCGACTTCCTCCCACAGTCCAAAAACATGCTGAGGTTAATTAGTGATTCTAAATTGTCTGTAGGTGTGAATGTGAGTGTGCTTGGTTGTCTGTCTCTAAGTGTAGCCCTGTGATAGACTGGTTACCTGTCCAGACCTGAGTCAGCTGGGATAGACTCCAGCCCCCCATGACCCTAGTGAGGATTAAGCGGTGTATAGATAATGGATGGATGGATAGATGGACATTTAAAGAGCTTTTATTTATTTATTTTTTATCTCTAAGCTTGTAACAATCACATAAGACATTTTACTATATGGGACCTTTACAAATGGGACTGCTGCAGCATGTGTGGAGAAAATATATATATTTTTAAACTAGCGAAGTAAAGTAAAAACAATTATTTACTACATCACATTTCAGTGCCTCGTTATGCTTAGATTCTCCACAAATCTCCCTGTTTTCCTCCTTGTTCAGAGGAGTTTTTGGACAGGTTGAGGTTTGCAGCAGTCTCTGGATGTCTCCAGCAGGGGGCAGCAGTCAGCCCGCTGAGCAAGGCGTCACTTCCGGTCAAACTCGGCTGCTGATTGGTGGAAACAGCCGAGGGCTTAGTTTTGTAACTGTTACGAAAAGTATTTTGTAACTGTGAAATGTTGTTTTATATCCGCGTTGGTTTCTCACTGAGACACGCGTTAAGGTTTTGATTCGAGCACGACTTGTGGAAAACGCAAAGTAGGTAACTTTTATCGGTTTTAGCCCGTTAATGCTAACAAAACAACAACAACAAACAAACAGGGTCATGCATTAAGTTCTGCAGGTGGCGACAAGCGCACATGTATTAAACTCGCTTTTTCAGTTCATCTACCCTGGAAAAACAAGAACATTTCTAGCAGCAGGATGTCTGCGGTACCGAAAGTGACTCTGTCCGGAGGTCTGGAGGTCTGCCGGGTCCTGAACGGGATGTGGCAGGTGTCCGGAGCGCACGGAGCGGTGGACAGGACCAGGGCAGGTAACAGCTCAACACACCTGGATGTTCTGTGTGTGTCCCAGAATGAGCAGCAACTGGATTCTTCTGTTTAACCCTCCTATTACCTTCAAATTTACTTACATCTTTTATTCTTGAGTTGAATTTGACCCCAGCAATTTAAACCTCCGTAAAATATCGTTGTTAAAATTGTTAGCCAAGTTTATGTGTAAATAGCCCTTTAAATAAAACTGAAAAAAATATGTCAGTGACTTATTTAGAGATGTTAAACACTGAGATAGTAGGAGGGTTAATTATGTTTATGTCTGAAGCTTCTTGGACTTTGTAGATTGCATGTAAGTTTAGTTGAATACAGGGTCTAGTCTGTTCTTGTAATATTATAATTCATATGCTAATGTTATCAGACAAACCTTATTAGAACCGCCATCATCCTTCATGGTGGTTACAATGTTCAGTTCATGTTGGTTATTTTGGAGGAACCAGTCAGTTCACCTTTCATTACTGATACTCAAATCTTGTATTTATTTCAATAATTTGTGCGTCTACTGTTATTTTTGAACATGTTCTGCCAGTCTTCAGACATTTTTTTTTTTTAGCAGCTCTTTGCTGGAGTCACTGTGTGGCTCTAACTTTGGATTCATGTCAGGCCGCACACTTGGCCAGATCATAGTTTTGATTTTTGTTTTTAAAATCGTTCTCCTGCTGGAATATTCCTCTACCATTTGCACATCATCCCACCTTAACCTCCGTGCTTCACTGTCAGGACTAATCAGTCACTGTGGTAGTCCTGGACAGGTTCACATTGCTGTTAAAACTGAACAGATGTATTTTGTCTATCTCACCTGACCCTAGAATTTTCACCCAGTTTTGATCAGACTTCTTATTTTGTTCTTTAGCAAAGTTTCATCTTGCATTCTTCTTGCACGTCATCCATAGAGATTGACATCATGCACTGTCCTTCTCACTGTCTGAGCCGTCACAGAAGCTCCAGTTTCCACTGATAACCTCTGTTCTAAGTGCCAGCGCTAGATCGTGCCAGTATCACACTGTCTCTGGCATTTCTTTATGACAACGACCACTCTACTCTACCATGGCTCGTTCTTTACCTTCTGATTACTATTGCAACTGTTTTTTCACTGATCTCTACTTGGTCACAGATCTTCCTTTGTCCTTTTCCATATTTGTGAAGTCTCACAATCAGATTTTTTAAGTCCTCTGGCGACTTGGAGCCATGATGCAGACATGCATGACATTTACAGACCATTTTACAGCCATGTATATGTAATTACTGTAATTGGTAATTACAGGTGTACTCGATTGTGTTGTTGTATTCACTTTTGTTGTATTGCGCTTGCAGTTGGTGTCTGTATTTCAATATAGTGTTTCTAAAGAATTTGTCGCTCAGGTGTAAATACCTTGTCAACTTAGAACTAGTGCAGTTATTGCAAGGTGAATTTTGAATTATTTGACATTTAAATGATATTGCACAGGACTGAACTAACTTCTGTTGTACAGCTTTGAGAGCAGACTAAATAACACAAAAGCCTCTTTGTATGATGTCACACTGACAGTGCATCTAAGGAACAAACATAGGAGAGCATTTAGGAGTACATTTACACATTTAAGTAGCCTAACAACAGCATGACTGTGCTAAAACACTGCTACTTCTCTCTAAACTACCTGTTGCGTATCCTAACTGTGCTGTTTCCCTTCACATCTCTACAGTCGAGGCCATGCAGGAATACGTAGACGCTGGTCTGACCACATTCGACATGGCCGACATTTATGGACCTGCAGAGGAAATATTCGGACAGTTCAACAGCAAGGTGTTTACAACTCACACATTCACATTTAAAGTACTTAACATGCTCCCACATGAAGACAGCTCCACCTGCTGTTTGGTCAGTTTCCATGGACTTGATACAGGACATTATAAGATACCTCTATTCGTTTAACTCTATTTCTTAGGTGGGAAAAATGCTTATTACAGTGATATTCAAAATGCTTATAAAACCTAATATTTACAGCATGCAATTTGGAGGTCTGAATAATTACTAAATGAACCACATATGGAAATGTAGTAGGAAGTAAACAACATATACATGACAGGACACTTGCTTGTGGAGCCTGTAGAAGCCTTATGAAGTGTAATCCTTAACGTCAGTCGCCTAAAAGACCACAGGGAAGTGATGTAGTGTAGTAGAGTGGATAAAGACTCCACAGTGTGTTTGTGTGTGAGACATTTACACAACAGAACAAAAGAACCAGAGACAGAGGGGAGTGTGTCCTGATTAACACCCAATACCCTGTCAAATTATGTGTTAAATATTATGTTGGGCATACAAACAAGTCTAGTTTTGGGGTGTTATTTTATCTTTAAAAAAATATTCTGATAGGGCTGTACGGTGGCTCGGTGGTTAGCATCGTTGCCTCGCAGCTAGAAGGTTAGGACACCCGGGATCTTTCTGCATGGAGTCTCCATGTTCTCCCCGTGCAGCGTGGGTTCTCTTTGGGTTCTCCAGCTTCCTTCCACACAGTCCAAAAACATGTTGAGGTTTATTGGTGATTCTGAATTGTCCGTAGGTGTGAATGTGAGTGTGCTTGGTTGTTTGTCTCTAAGTGTGGCCCTGTGATAGACTGGTTACCTGTCCAGGGTGTCCCCTGCCTTCACCCTGAGTCAGCTGGGATAGACTCCAGCCTCCCATGACCCTAGTGAGGATTAAGTGGAGTATAGATAATGAATGGATGGATGGAAACATTTTGATATTGACTTTTGACAGGTTTACTGACATTTTGTGGGGAAAAAAAATGTCACTAGTATTTCAGTTAATAGGAACTTAAGCAGGATTTGCCACATTTTTCTGTGTAAATGCCTCAATTATAGTAAAATAAGCTGACTGAACATTCTGTATCATTTGACCTATTAAGACCTGATGCAACAGATGCAGCATATATGTGTTTATAGGGCGCCTAAGGTCTTAATGGATTAATACAGTTTAATATAAGCGACTGCATTGGAAACCGTTCTAATAGATAGTGTGCAATCCTGTTAGCTCAGTCCTGCCTCGGTATTGATTCTTTTTTTATTGTCAGTTCTCCACAGAGCTGCAGATACTCAGCACACACATTAAGAAATGCTCTCACACTCACACGAGTCCCTGTGAGGCTGCCATCAGTCCTTGCGGCTGATGTGATGTGACAGTCTAATGGTATCGACCGCGAGCAGCCGCTCACCTGGAATAATGTGCAGAGAGCTGTTTCCTCGTCCAACAAGCTTTTCTTTGTCTTACAATTGAATGTTGTTACACAGGCTTTCTGAGCTTTTTGCCACTGATACAGTAAATAATCATATACTTCTTACCTCCGTTTGCATCAGTGTGTTTTTGGCAGTAAAAAGCTGTTAGGACACATGGTGATAATAGACTGGAATCAGTATGTGCAGGCTCCAGAAACAGCTGTAACTTTAATTGTCTTTCTCTGATCTGTAGCTGAAATCTGGTGGGAATGCCGTTCCAGCTCTGCAGAGTCTCACCAAATACGTGCCAAGACCAGGACCGATGGAGCGCAAAGTGAGTTCCTTCTGCTGCTTTTCACAGTTTTATCCAGCAGAGAGCAGTGTGTGTCCTTATGAAGAGTGGTCGACTTATTGTATGTAAAGCGTCCTCCTCTACACACACTGACACTTTAGTCTTCACATCAGAAGGGATTTTGTTTAAGGTTTCATGTGCACCAAAATACACGCACATTTTACAGGATTTAAATAAATGCAGCATGTAAGTGTGTATGAATTGTGTTGTGATCTTTTGAGTAGATTTTTTAGCTGTGAAACGTCCAGCTCATTTTGTCACATCTTTAAATAGGAATCTATGTTACCACCAGCTGTTTAAGAGTTGTGCTTTAATGGTTAAAGGTGCGTACCACATAACTGCAGCATGCATGCTTGTGATCTATGTTGCATGTCCCCACTTCCCCCAACGTTTCCACCGAGTGTCTCTGCTGCTGCCATGAAAGAAAATCAAAAATTGCCCAAAAAAATCATCTTAAACATCAGCTTCTTTATATTAAGTGTGCTGTTACCGCATGTGTAATTATCAGCCAATAAGTTGTTTCCAGATTAGTAAAGTTGCAAATATTAGTTTAATATCAGCCACAAACATCCAGTCCAGGCATCGTGTGTTTGTGTCATTGTTTGCCGAGAGTCGTGTCTTACATCATTTTTTGAACCTTCGGGTTGAATTAAATTTATAGTTCATGTTCAGTTTTGCTGTTGAAAGTGGAAACAGTTGCTGATCTGTCCATGTGTGTGTGTGCAGGTGGTGGAGAAGGCGTTGCAGCGCTCCATGAGCCGGATGCAGGTGGACACGCTGGACTGCGTTCAGTTTCACTGGTGGGACTATAAAGACAAGAGATACCTGGAGGCACTGGGACATTTATCTGACCTGCAGCAGGAGGGAGTCATACGTAAGTGCACTGGAGTTCACAATACACACTGTAGACGTCAACAGATAAATAAAAATATGACAGACTGATCAGGAGATGACAAGGAAAGCTGCACACTTAAAGCCTTTATGGACAAACACAAACATATTAGACTGAGTGGTATATCACCAGGCTGATGTGTCAGTGCTGGTATGTAGGGTGGTAAAAAAAAAAGATAAACTGCAATTTAGTAGTATTACATGGGCTGCATTATATTTATATTTGAGTTAATTCGCGGCATAGTGAGCTACATAAATGTAATTCACTGTCCACTTATTGGCTTTTTCCAGAGCTTTTAACTCTCAGCTTACAATCCTCATTATCTGATGGAGTCGTCATTAATCATACTTTCAGCCACATTTCAACTCCAGCAGCTCCGTCTTTCCTCGTGTTTTGTTTGCCAAGTTGCTGTTTCAAAGGAGAGCTAAACTCTATTTGAATTATTGTTACATGTTTAAAGTTTCATTTTTCAAGCATTTCTTTACATTAATTCCATTTTCTCATTATTATTATTACCGGTTAGAGTGTGCCATGTTATTTTTACTGTTAGCTTTGTGAATATAGTTTATTTTTCATGTACAAAATAACAAATCGGAATCAGTTTTATTGGATTATGCTGAAGTGTTTAATACAAATTTTGACCAATACAACTTTGGAATTTTTTACTAGAGGTTTTTGGTTGAACCACGCTGAATTTTCTTCTTGAGGTTGTAGTGAACACTGTTTGGCTGAAAATCTTTCGCTTTATCCGTCTTTTTTAAACACCAGGACTGCTGTCTTTGTGTAATTTCATAATTCTCTTCACATTGGGGGCGTTCAAGAGTTTCAGATAATTTAGTTTTGATTATATGTGGGCTTTACATATACAGCTTGAACACAAAAAAGGAATTCTGGTGTGAATTTTGGAGTTTTTACGATGTCAATACATCATATGTAAAAAAATATTTATTGCACATATTGAATTGTTACTTGGCTTTTTCATGTCTTTAAGATGCTGTGATTATTCACCCACTATGATGAAACTCACATCAAAATTGAAGGCCTGTTGCATAGATTCTGTTTAACGATTATTACCATTTGAATGTAAATATCCGAAGCAGACTTTATGTTTTTCATGTTAAATAGGGAAACTGGACACATTTCCTGTTGTTCTCTCCTGTAACCTATATTTTTAACCATCCTGTTCCTTCCTCAGGTGAGCTTGCCCTCACTAACTTTGACACACAGAGGATGGAGGAGATCACCAACAAAGGCATCCGCATCTCCAGCAACCAGGTAACACTTCCACCTTCTAATCAGTGCTCTGCTTCCTGCTTTCTTCCCCTTCGCTGCATCTGCTCACCGTGTTTCTGACGTGTGCAGGTTCAGTACTCTCTGATCGACCAGCGACCTGCAGCGAGGATGCAGCAGTTCTGTCTGGACAACAACATCCAGCTCCTCACCTACGGCACGCTGGGTGAGAAACACTCCTTCATTTACATTCGGACGTGGTTTTATCACTCCAGTAGAACAAATACAGAGCAGAAGGTTTGCGTCGTGTTTCATGATGATTATCATTGTGGTGTTCAGATGTAAAATGGTGGGTTTCTAAGATGGAGTCGGTCGACGTGACGACACACCCTCTCTCCTCTGCACTCCCCCTCTTTTATACGTGTACTCTTCCTTTCATATTCCCTCCTCCTAACCTCATGCTCTCTATCGTCTCTTTGCTTCCATCGCCTCTCCCCTCCCTTCTTGTTTTACGTCCTCCTGTTTCACCCTCTTCCACCTCATCTCTCCTCTTCCTCCATCCCTTTATTCCTGCTATCACGGCCACTTTGACTATAACTCCACCCTACGTTCCTCCTCCTGTCCTTTGTCCATCCTCCACTTTTGTCTCCTCCATCCTTCCTTTCTATGATCCTATCCCTTCTTCTAACCTCACATTCTCTATCCTCTCTCTCTTTCTTCCTTCCATCGCCTCTTCCTTCTCTTCCTGCTTTTTGTCTGCTTCCTCCTCATCTCTCCTCTTCCTCCGTCGGACAATTCCTGCTATCACGGCCACTTCGCCTTTCACTCCACCCCGTTTTCCTCCTCGTTTCATCTGTCCATCCTCCACTTTTAACTCCACACCCTGTTTCCACCATCTCTCCTCCGTCCCTTACGTTCCACCTCTCTAATACATTTACTCCTTCTCCTTGATATATCAAACCTTTTCCTCCACCAAACCTCAACGCTCTCTAACTCCATCTTCTTTTTCTCCGTCTCCTCTCCTGCTTCACCCTCTTCCTTCTCTCCGTCCTCCCATCTTATCCCTCCTCTTTCTCCGTCTTTTAATTCCTGCTATCGTGGCCACTTCACCCTTAACTCCACCTCATGTTCCTCCTCCTGTCCGTTGTCCATCCTCCATTTTGGTCTCCTTCATCCGCCCTCATTTCCATCATCTCTCCTCCATCCATTCTCTCAGCTGGAGGTCTTCTCTCCGAACGCTATCTCGGGAAGGCGGAGCCTAACTCCAGGGCGGAGCTCTACACGGCGTCCCTCTCCAAGTACAAGAACGTCATTGACGCTTGGGGCGGCTGGAGTCTTTTCCAGGACCTCCTCGTCACCTTGGAGACCATTGCCAAGAGACACGACTGCTCAGTGGCCAGCGTGGCAACACGCTACGTGCTGGACCGCCCTGCGGTGGGCGGCGTCATCGTGGGCTGTCGGCTGGGCGTCGCAGGGGCGGGGCAGCACATCAGCGACAGTCTGCGGAGCTGCAGCGCCGACCTGAAGCTGACGGAGGAAGATCTCGCCGCCATCGAAGCAGTGACACGACGCTCCAGGGACCTGATGGAGCTCATCGGGGACTGTGGGGACGAGTACCGGAGCTAAAGGGGGGAGGGTGGGACTGACTGAGTGGATGTGACAGACGGGGGAGGAGGGGGAGGAGTAAATAAAACACAGAAAACATCTCCGCAGTTCAGCCACATGCTGGAAAAGAATAAATTGCAGCTTCCGATGATGATTTTTCTCAGGTTTTGGCCACTTCTGTGAATTTTAGTCTTCAGAAATTCAGAAATTTTCCCTCTTCACAAAAGTGTCCTTATTTGGAATCATTTTACATTTCCAGAGTTTGAGGGCTTTATTTTGCTTCCACCACTAATGAGCTTTAAGATGTTTTTCATTGAGACTTGAATACAGCTGCACAGAGATTCACACAAACAGTGTTTACACTCCAGCACGTCCTTAAGTCAGAAAATTCAGAGAAAGTTCAGTGTGTCTGTTGTTTAAGCTGTAGAATGAATGTATATTGTTGATAAAATGCTAAATAATCTGACTAATAATTTAATGTTAAAATTGAATTATTCTTTTTTACAATCAACTTAAGACAAAAGAAGATCATCAGAAGGAATGTGTCAATGTGAATATAAAAGCTTTTGTTCATTAGTTTTGTTTTCGTCCTGTTTTAGTTATTGAAAATTACACTATAGTTTCTCTTTTAATTCACCATAATAATAATACAATCATTCATAAACACTCCCCAGACTAAATAGGACATCGATCCTGGACCCCAGTTCAATCCCACTCACCAAACATTAGTATCTTTAAGACATATCTCCAAGTAGGTTTTTGTTGTAATTTCCACGTACTGATCCTTTAAACCCACACAGTGTACTCTACATTGATATTCCTTTGTGTCTGAGAAACAGGCCATGAGGTGAAGTGTTGCGGCGCAGGGCGGGGGCTCACTGGAGTGGAAGGAAGTGGGGAACCCTGTAGCACTGTCTGGCCCTACAGACGACAAGAAAGTGACACAACATAGACAAAGACACACCGACACAGTCGCACAAACAGAGATACTGAGCTCTCGCTAGTGTGTAAAGTTAATTTTTAAGATCCGAAAGTGAATAAATGATAAGAAATTGTGTGTTTGTTTGGGTTTTTTGAAGTGTCAGCACATACTTGGTGTGTGTTAATGTGCCGGATGCATGTGATTCATTCATTAGCGGGTGAAGCATGTTTTAATGTGGTTGTATTTGCATGTACAGTACATGTGTGTGTTTTGAAGCAGCAGCGATTTAGTTTGACAGGAGGCGTGTGAGCCACTCCACATGTTCGTATGTGCTATAGTGTGTGTGTGTGTGTTGTGTTGTTGGAGACGAATCCATACGACAGACTGACAGCTATAAGAACAGATGCTTAGATGGCAGTCACATGGCAACGCCCAGCCTTTGTCCAACCTACACTGTGTATACGCACACATACTCTACAATCTGTCCGACTGTTTTACGTTTCTCACTAACACACAGCTGACACACTCGGTCCACCTCAAAGAGCAGACAGACCCCCGCTGCGCTATAGGAGTGGAGGTCAAAGGGTGTCCCCAATATCACATCCAATCTTCGGAGGTTGTTCTAACACGCTGGAGTTCAGTGTACAGTTCAGGGTAGGACTGTGAGGTACCAAGACAAAGAGGATCTTTCCGGAATTCCGCATATTTCTGTCACAAACGATTAGAAGCCCTTCAACACGGCTGCTTGGTGGATCTACTGTGTGCATTTGAGAATGCCTTATGGAAAATTCAGTTCATTTGAATTTACAGTTGAAACCAGAAGTTTACATCCACTGTATAAAAAGACACATGACCTTTTTTTCCTCACAATCTGACATCAACTGTGACTAAACTTTTCCTGGTTTAGGTCAGTTAGGATTACCAGAATTATTTCTATTTGCTAAACGCCAGAATAATGAGAGAGAATTTTTTAGAGATTTTTTTTACTACTTTTTTCAAAGTCAGAAGTTTACACACATTTCCTTAGTATCTGGTAGCATTGCTTTTAAATTGTATGACTTTGGTCAAACGTTTTGGGTTTCCTTCTACAAGCTTCTCACAACAGTTTGATGAATTCTGGTCCATTCCTCCAACAGAACTCATGGAACTGAGTCAGGTTTATAAGCTGCCTTGGTCCACATACCTTATCAGCTCTGCCCACAGTTTTTCTCCAGGATTAAGATCACGGCTTTGTGATGGCCACTCCACAACATCCACTTTGTTGTCCTGAAGCCACTCTGTAGCTAATCTGGCAGTATGTTCAGGGTCATTGTTCATTTGAAGACCCATTTGAGTCCAAGCTTTAACTTCCTGGCTGATGTCTTGAGATGTTCCTTCAATATCTCCACATAATGTTCTCTCCTCATGATGCCATCTATTTCATGAAGTGTACCAGTCCCTCCTGCAGCAAAACACCCCCACAGCATGATGCTGCCACCCTCGTGCTTCACAGTTGGGATGGTGTTCTCAGGCTTGCAAGCTTCCCCCTTTTTTCTCCAAATGTAACGATGGTCATTATGGCCAAACAGTTCATCAGACCACAAGACATCTCATGAACAGGAAGGAGTCTCTGGCAGAACCAGGCTCAGGGTGGGCAGGCATCTGCCTGGACTGGTTGGGGCGAGGGTAAAGATAGGAGAGAAAAGGATAATACAAAGAAAACAGATAATGCAAAGTGAACAATATTCACTCGGGAGGCCAACGACTGCAGTTAGAGATTCCTGTGTCGAGGACAAAACACAAACTACAGGAGAGAGAAGACACAAAGTCCAACACAAGGTTGGTCTGAGATTAAAGCAGCACAATGAAGCGATGGTTTAGGGTCACCTGAGTCAGAAAAGTCTGATCTTAAACATAGAGAAGGTGTCTGCCTCCTCAACTCAAACTAGCAGCTGGCTCCACAGAAGACTAGCCTGATAACCGAAGAGTCTGCTTCCCATTCTGCTTCTGGAAACTCTAGAAACCACAAGTAAACCTGCAGTCTGGGAGCGACGGGCTCTGTTAGGATAAAATTGCACAAGAAGGTTTTTAAGATACGATGGCACTTGGTCATTAAGAGCTTTGTATATGAGAAGGAGAAGAATTTTAAATTCTGGATTTTACAGGGAGCTAATGAAGTGGAGTCTTTGCTGACAGGCCATTAGGCGTGTGATTTGGAAATGAAAATATACATTTATGACGGCCTGAGACGTGAGATGGGAAGAAACCTCTTGGATGAAAGGTGAAGCATCTTTCAAGAACCGAAAAGAGAAGTCCAGCTGCCTTTTACTCAACCTCTTATACAGACATGTCATCAGCTAAATACCAAAACTGAGGTTCTATGTGGTAATCATAGTTTGAAAAAGTTATTATACATATTAGTACTTTAAAGCACTCATTAATAATTTTTTGCTGATTTCTGTGGTATGAGCTGAAAGATTACAAGCTGGTCCACAGGGTCAAATGATTTTCTGATTGGAGTTTATGTCACCATTTATTTAAAACCTCTAGAAATATCAGAAACACAATAGAGCTTGTTTTCACCACATTATAAATGTGTGTTTTCTATAAGAGATGGCGTTAATTCGTGTCTTTGATCGTTGTACTTGCAGGTTATAAACTTTAAGTTCCTGCTTAACCTTCTCGTGGAGTTAATGCTGATTTACTCTAAAGCCCAGTTTGACTAAATCTGACTTAAAGAACCAACATATGAAGAGTTTAAATGCGCATACAGTAACTATCCCACACACATGCAGCCTGTGTGAATCTTTCAAAAGGCTTTTGAATTATTAACATGCATTAAATATGTATAACACATAGTGGCTGTGGGGTTGTGTGATCCCACAGACTTCAAGCAGCCACCAGGGCACTTAAACCTTATTACACTCAGACAGCACACAGAGCTTTACATAATTATATAGGAGGACATTATGACTAAGCACCCAGATATCGTTACCCGCCGACCAAGTGCACTTCTGTTCTGGACAGAGACGGTTAGAAAAGTCTTCAGGATTGCTGCATTGTACTCGAGAGGACATTTTTGCTTAAAGCAGTTATTTGTAATGCACTTTTGCTAATTAGGGTCCGAGCACACCAGTGCAAGGACCCTATTGGAACCGTTCTGATTATTGTTATTATTAGTGGCACGGGCTGAGCTCGAGGCCACTATTGTTATTTATTATTATTTTACCGACTTTTGAAACGCGATTTTGAGGGCCTAAACATGCTCGAAAACTCACCAAAATCGCCACGCACATCAGGACTGGCGAAAAATTTGATATTTTAAGGGACTTGGACATGTCACTGCCAAAATGGCTCCACAGCGCCACCTTGAAAATTTCAATAGAGTCCTAT